AAATAACTTGTCAATTACTATGACGATCTCAGGTCAAAGGAAACTCTTACATCACATTCTTCAAGAGAATATCCTATTGACAGTTTATGGTAATTCTAACCATTAGGAATTATCCAATGAGTCGGTTCAATGATCATATCTCTATATGCATCATCTATCTATGTGATTTAGTTAATGAGATCAACTAATCTTTATCCCATAAAGACAATCACATAAATATTGATCTAACCGGATTACTAATATCCAAATTAATAATCCTATGATCAAGAACAAATTTAGATTAAATTATAAGAAACTTCACTCTCATTATCATGATCTCTATCACAATGTCAAGTCTCAAAATTTAATCGAGGACCTTATCAAATTAATCAAGCAATTAATAAAAATGATAAAAGAATATCAAATGACATATATATTATATCAAATGGCGTTCACAAAAATATGTTCAAATCATCAAATATATATTGAATTTAGGACATATCTACTATATCCCTAACATACTCAACAACCATAAAGTTTGTCGGTAAGAATGAAGCAATATATATTACGAGAAATAATATTTTTCGAAGTAGTAGCTAAGCGAGCTAAAAAGGAAAATAGAGATATTAAAATCAGTCTTCCGTTAAATATGCCACAGGAAAGTAATGGACTTTTAATGAAGAATAATAGCATGTTGATCTATCAAGCATACCCAAAATATATGACCGTTTTGATACTCCAGGATGTGGCTCTGTGGTGATTGAATTGTGATGAAATTACAGTAATATGCAGTTTAGTCATTATTATTTCTTAGCCTTCTACATCTCCATTTATATAATCTTTTTCTATTTCGAACCTTTTGGAAATTTCGATATTATTTCATACTATTTGCAAGAATTCAAAATTATTTAACTATTCAATTGTTTAAAATCTAAGAAAAGAAGATCTTTATGCAAATAGCCTGCTAGATTTATTATTTACTTTTTCTAGTTGGTATACATATATTATACACCGATATTAAGTAATAATGCACATATTATACATGCATTATATATTACTAGTATCTACGAACGTGCGTTGCACGTTAATAATGGTACTTGATAGTTTGAATATTTATTTATATGAAGGAACATTAAAATTTAATTAATGAAAGAAATTTTATGTATAATAATACAACAATCATCTAAATGCCGAAAAGTATTATTACATTTGCATTATACATGAATTTAAAATAAAAGGACATCATCAAAACTTACAAAAATGATCAATTTTGTCATGTTAGTTAGATAATTATGTATTACTTCCTCTAATCCACTTTAAGTGATTTTTGATTGCTTTCACACATATTAAGGAATCGACTTTTTAGCATTAATTAACAATATAATTGACCATATTAACCTTAAAGTGGACATGAGAGGGGATAGTTTAAAAGTATTTAATGTGATGGTATCTTACCGAACACTTCTTTGTTGACGATATTTTTTTGTGTGTATGTTTCCTCCTAATGATTTGGTTGCTCTGTCTTAACCAGAACTCTGATTGCCGATCTTGATATCCCTCTTGAAAGTGCAACATACAGATTGTTATGCAATCTAGTTTCTATATATGTGTATTTAGCTAATTTTTGAATGAAAGAATAATAAATTGCATTTATCAAAAATTTGTACAAAGCAAAAATATTTGTTGTAATGCAATTGATATGAAAAATGTAATTTTTATTATATATTAACATAATACTTGAATTCAAAACTATATAATTTGAGAGATAGTTACCAAGTGAAAGAGAGAGAGATAGATAATTAAATTATACAATGAACCTGTATGGTGAAAATCATTTGGTGCTAAGTATTTTAAATATTTTTCTTGGTAATAGTTATTGGTATCATCTCGTGTGAAATCAAAATAAATAAATGCTCTACTTTCACTAGGAAACTTGGATATCAACATCTAGTTCGAAGCATGATTATTTCTCCTAAGCTAAGATAGATATTGTTTTCATGTATTTTTCATAATTTATATTTTTATTTAATGATGAAAATATTTTTCTTATTAAGCAATCTGCAATACCGCTATCACCATTGGGCTTGACATTCAATTGGTTTGGGAGAATGACCAATTATGTTTAATTGTATGCTCTTTTTTGTTTTGACAAGAAACAAAATATCCATCTTGAAAGTACA